TCCGCCGGAGCCCGCGGAGTTGGTGCGGGTCCCCCGGGCGGCACTTTCTCCCCCGGACCCGGGGCTGAGCAGCCACCGCCCCCCGGGACCCCCATGGCACCGCCGCGATGTTCGTGTCCCGGCTCCTGGATTTCCAGAAGACGCCCTCCGCCAGGTAAAGCCGTCGGCGCGGCGGTCCCCGACCCCCGGGTGCTTGCGGAGCCCCAGGACAGCCCCAGCCCCTGCCCGGGCTCGGCTCCGCGGGGATGGAGCCCGAAGGGACCTTCAAAAGCTGCTGAGTGCCCCAAAGCCCGGGGCAGGTGCGGGCTGCTCTTTTGGAAGAAGGTTACCTGCTTTTCTGCATCCCTAAGGGAGTCTGAGCATCCCTGGGAGCCCTCGCTGGGTCCAGCTTCACCGTTGTCCTCCCACTGCTGGGGAACCGACCTCACCGCTGGCTGCAAACCCTCCGCGGAGGGACCAAGGTTGCCCCGGGTCCCGCTGCCCCCAGGTGAAGCCCCCTCGGGGCAGCTCCCCCAGCCTGGACCTGGGGGCTCTGCAGGGTTCCCATGGGATGCAATGGTGGTGGGTCCTTTGCCCCCCTCCGTGAAATACCCAGGGAGGCTTTCCAGCAGCAGCAGGGACTTGTTTTAGCAGCTCAGGTGTGTTCAGAAACCTCATGGCTTTACCTGCTTAGGGGGAAACCTGAGGACCTCTGGGCGCAGGCCAGAGGGCACATGGCCACACACACTGCTGTGGGATCAGATGTGACCTTTAGCAGGGGGCTGGTGGGTGGCATGGGGACAGCGGCTGCCCACAGCCCTCTGGCACGCTGGGTGGCCAAGGATGAGTCAAATCACACAGTGTTGGGCGATGCATGGCCAGATGGGGCTCAGGGGGGTGCCGAGTTCTGCGCCGAGGACAGGCTTTGTCCCCAGCTCCCTATGACTGTGGGTGGGGATGTTTTCATGGCTGTGGAGGGTCCCACAGGCTGGCACAATTCCTGGGGGCATTCAGCTCTGCCGCTGCCACTCTCAGACTCCCAGTGGTCCCATTAGAATCAGATACCAGAGAAAAACTTGTCTGGAAAGGAGTGATGATGGTGTTTCTTGCCTGCTCCAGGCAGAAGCATCCCTGAGGGATGTTTGTCTGGGCTGCATAAGGGCAGGAGACATCTCTCTCCCCCCACAAGCCACCAGCTCCTCTCCTTCCAGGCATCCCACAGGGAAAAATCCATGCTTGCACCTCCAAAAGCTGCCCAAAACACATGGGCACCTGCTCAAAGAACATTTTGATGCTGAAGTTGCCTCCTGATAACCTTTACCTGGGGGACATGAAGGAGATACCCAGCAGGTCTGCACAGTGCACCTGGTCCAAACCTCATTGTGAAAACAGAAAATCCAAAACTGTTTTTCCCAGCTGCCATACAGAGGACAGGGCCAGGGGAAGACAGAGCTGAGCAAAGCCCTGTGCCCTGCAAGGAGGAGGAAAACTCTACTTTTGCCCCACGGCAGTGGCACAGAAGCTCTTGGGAGATTCACAGCAGAGCAGGGGCTGCCCCCCCCCATTTCGATCTTCCCCAGCAGAATCTATCTGCCAGCCTGTTGCTTGATTTATCCAAAATCAGCATGCTCAAACTTTGCTATGGTCCTTTCTGGAGACGACTTGTTCAATGGGGACGAGGTGCTACAGAGTGCCTTGCAGGGATAGAGCCCATGTGCAGGGCAGGGGCTGCAGGGCACAGGAAGGGTCAGCCCCTCAGGGCATCCTCCACCTCTCGCTGGGTACCAGGGCTGGATGGGGAGCAGGAGGAGATGGGTGCTCCCTTGGCTTTCACTCCAAGACACACCAAGGCGATCACCAGCACGAGATGCTAACCCAGAGCTTCCTACATTGCTGCAGAGATCCTCTTAGCCTAGTGCTTAAAAATAACAGTTGGCTAATCCCCCGTCCCCCCCACGCGCCACGCACACCAGCTCTCCTCTCGGCAGAAATGCTATGCTATGGCATATCCTAAAAGCTGCTCCTTCTTTTGTGTCAGGAATGCTCTGTCGGCTTCCCTAAGCTGCAGGTAACAGGGACTGGGCTCCTCAATGGGGACTGGTGCAAGCAGGAGCCACAGGGCTCACGATGGCACATGCCCTTCAAGGCATCAGAAGCATCTTGTGACACCTTTTCAGAGTATCAGAAACTCTTGCTTGTGGCCTTCCTTGAAAAAAAAACAAACAAACAACAAAACAAAACCAAACATCAGAAGGTTTTCTTTGTGGTGGAAAAGCCTGGAACAGCTTCATTTTTAATGTCTTTTTATCTAATTTTGAGTGCGGACCAAGAAAGGAGGAACTTGGCCATCAATACACCCACCAAAAGGAATAAATAAAAAACCAGCATGGTGATGAAAGACCTGTTGTGTGAAAGCTGCAGCAAAGGCTCTGGGCTTTGTTCAAAGAGATGAAAGGCAGCAATCAATGCAGGAGGCATTTTGTGAACTGCCAGAAGAAAACTCAGGGCTGGTGGGGCACCAGAGTGTCCCCAGATCCTTCCCATCTGGGCTTCAGAGACAGAGCATCATGGCTGGGGTGGAGGGGAAGCAAGCAAGCAGAGGAGGCTGTTGCCATGGTGGGAATAGGGATGCATGGCAATGCTGTTTGAGCAGGTTGGGGCTATAAAGGAGGCTGGCTGTGGTTTCTGCTCTGCTGTGGGGTCCAGGAGGTTCTTTCATTGTCTTCCACCATGGGGAAAGGGAGCTAAAGCACAGCATTCCTG